ATAAATAAATAAAAAATAAATAAATAAATAAAATCTTAACTATAACACTAAAGAGACTTTTGGGGCTTTATCAAACAAGCTGGCATAGATAACCTAATCACATATGTGCTTCCCTGTTCCAATCAAAACAAGCATTAAAAACCTTGTCAGCTAAAGTTTAAGTAACACCTTTAAAAATTCCTTACTACACAATGGAAAGAGGCAGTTAGCTATGAGGTGAGACAGAAGGCAGGGCAGCTCCTACAGACATGGGGAGCCCGCTCTGACATGCCGGAAATTCAGCACATCAGAGCAGACTTGATTTCAAGTCCGCTGAAGCATGGAAACGAACGCACTCCAGCAGCCTTCAGCATCACGTGCATCAGTGACCTGTGTGTCTCTGCAATGAAAGATGGTGGCAGGGCACTTTGAAATAAAACACATTCAATGAGCTTTAGTTCAAAGGGCCTTGCCGCCAATTTTTCAGTGTGGGGGGACAGATACACACAATGCGCGGGCACTTTTAGTTACTGTGGTGCGCTTATTAAAGTGCCCAGCAGTGCCCCAAAATGCGTATAAAAATTCTTTCAGAGCCATGTTTTTGTAGGTGACAATCAACTTTGCCAGATGCCATGACAGCTATCATAGCATGATGGGAACCATAAAAACTACTAGAAACATACTTGAAATTTGATGCTGTAGCAGAGATTCAGGATTTTTACACCCAGCAATCACTTCATAATTAAGTTGGACCTAAAAATCACAGTCCAAGCTTTAAAACAGATACAAGCTACACTTGCTACACGTGTAACAAAGAATGTACACTCAACTAATCAGCTACCAACTAGAGGAACACAGAACTCTTCCCTTCATTGCAGTAATCCTTCTGAATGAGAATTAAGTGCCATCACACTGCCCAGCCTTAATGTCAAAGTGTTAATATTTGACAGAACCAAAAGCCAACAAACAGGAACTATGTACGGCCAGAATCACAAGGATATGTATTTTGTATTGGTAAAAGTGAAGGTCTGTATCACTTAAATGCTCCAGCCCACTTCACAATCCAGGAGTTGTCACTTGTTTGCACACCTGTGGCAAATGGGATGATTCACATGCCTCTCTTCAACATTAAAGCATCATTATTCATAATATATTAAATATACTTACAGACTGTCCTTTCTTGTGTTTGCGTCGATACAGAACAGTCCAGTTGATCTGGCGGGGGTTTCTCTTGGAGAGAAATGCAGACTCGCATTTTGCGTTCAGGAACTGGAAAACCTGGAGACATGCACACAAACATACCTATTTTACAATAGGTTTACTCCATTCAAAGCATCACAGTTTATATGTTTGTCAAGTTGCTGAGTCCTCCTTAGAATCATAGAAAGTAAGGGTTGAAAGGGACCTCAGGAGGTCCAACCCCTGCTCAAAGCAGGACCATCCCCAACTAGATCATCCCAGCCAAAGCTCTGTCTACTTTGGTCTTAAACACCTCCAAGAATGGAGATTTCATCACCTCTGGATAACCTGCCCCAGTGTTTTACTACCCTCTTTATAAGAAAATCCTTCCTAACATCTAACCTAAACCTCCCTCGCTGCAACTTGAGACTAGCGGTCCTTGTTCCGTCATCTGCCACCATCTTTGCTGCCCCTGTGTAGAGTTAAAGCCTGCCAGCGCCCCTGGGCTTGTGCATACCTCGGGGCTGTGCTAGGTCTCTACATCACAGCCACCGTCCCCTGCAGCCTCCCCTCCCCCAGGTCCTCTCGGGCCGCACTCCCCAACCCTCGCGCACCTTGCCGTCCGTACGGGCGTAGCGGCGGCCGTGGCCTGGGTAGATCTTGTAGCCGCTGAAGCTGCACAGCTCGACCCTGCGGGGAGACAAACGCGGGCGGTTAGCGG